TAAAAAAAAAAAAAAAAAATCTAGAGTTAGTATTTTCTTTTGGAGTAACAAAACAATTTTTTCCCAACATTTTTGAAAACTAGAATAAGTATAACCAATAATTTTGACGAGTAAAAAATTACTGGTTTGTCCTTATAGCTAAAGATTTACGAGGAGAGCGAAGTGGCGCTCATGGAAGCGAATAGAATCGACGACGAAGACGCTGAGGTCTGGGCTTACTTATGTTTGTTGAGTATGGCGCAACATCGACGCGATGAATTTGCTCAGTGTTACAGGCAAATGGTAAAGGTAAGGAGTAATAAAAGTGGGTAAATTGAAAAAAATAATAATTACAAGACCATTATTTTTGTAGATATTACAGATTTATTAACAATTCGTTTTTTGATTTTTTTTCCTAATTAAATTTTTCCCTCGTTTATTTTTTTTTAGAACGACCTAAAGAGTGACAAAATTTGGCGGCTCATCAAGCACTCGATGGATGCTTTTGACTATTCGTCACCAATCGCTGTGCTCGGGAGTTTGGATCATGATAAAACAGTTGGATGAACTTTTCGGAGTATGAATTACATTTCTCACTAATTTATTGCTGATCAATTTAATTTTACAAGTGTAAAATATTAAAAAGTGGCATTAGTAGAATGATTAAATGAATATTGTCTTTTGTTTAAAGTTAATAACATTATAAAAAATACATATATTTGAGCGGCTCTGGCTCAGTGGTAAGCGTGCTTTTTACTGATACAACGCTGTTCTAGGGGTCGTGGGTTCGATTTCCTGTAAATGTAGATTTTTTCAAAAACTGTTTTCATCGGGAAAAGTTCTTATGTAACCCCGGCTGTTTCGGGGCAGGTTTTTCTGTGGAATTTTCCTTCAGAGTACTTCCAGGATTTGTTCCTTGCCCCACAGGTCTTCAGGCCTTGGTGAAAAAGGAACAGTGTTAGGAGGTAGGGATTAGCGGATCCGATGCATCAGGCAGGGATCGCCAGCCTTACCGGCGAGGAGTGGTCCCTAAAACATGGGGCTTCTCCAGGGATGCTAATTAGCCTGAATCTGATGCTTCGGCAGAGAGCTCATGCTGGCTTAACCGGTGAGGAGTGGACGTCCTGAAATATAGAGTCCTCTCCAGGAAAGGCAACATAATGGAGAGTGGACCAGATGCACTATTGGTGCAGAGAGTATCAGTTTAACTGGCAAGGTGTTTCACCTGAGATACTCGCACGGTGCCCATGGATTAGGTTATAACATCAGTAAAAGTATTAGAAATGGGGGCGGCATTACACCCCCACACATAGGTGGTGAGTGGGTGGCCTCAGCAACTTGGCCCAAGAATTGTCGCGGTAACCCGGTAAAAAAAAAAAAAAAAATTGTTTAGGGTGAGATACTATAGTTAATCATAAACAATTTTTGCTTGCAGACAAAAATTTTTTCAGAGTAATGGAAAAAGNATCGAGTAACTGGTTTATAATAAATAAAAAAAAACGATACGATTGAATGAAAATAAATAAATGAGTTATTCTACAAAATATACGAAATAACGATCAAATAAAAAACAGTTTTTTTAATTGTAAAAGAAAAATTTATCGAGCTTACATTATCATCTAGGATCTAATTCATACAGACTAAAACTAAATTTCTTGGCGATTAATAAAGCTATGAAACTGTATGCATTTAATTCGTTAAAAATAGCTTGAAAATTAAGCTTCTTTTTTTTCAATTTTTTAAGAAATAGTATAGTATGCTACGTGCATTAAATTTTATGTGCCTCGCGTGACGAATGTATAAAAATATTATTTGCCATCCACCAAAATCAATCTCGTTCTCTTTACGTCACTACATTAATGTTGCGACTCACGTAAAAAATAATACTAAAAATTTTTTTTTTATAAAAAGCAGATCAAGTATACTTGTTTTTTTGTTGCCATGTACATTATTGTATAAGAAAAAAAAAAGAAAAAAAAAGAAGCAAAACGGCCAAAGCATCAAAGGTTAAAGCATATTAAGCCTCAGCATGGTACTACGGAGAATTTGTTTTTCTGCTTAATAAATTGATTGATAAATTTTTCTTTGAACAAATGGCACTAAAATTACTAGAAAACCGTGGCAACTGTACGTTATTATTATTTTTTTTAAAGACTCAATTATGGAAGAATAATCATCTTGTTTAAAAAATGAACAATTATTGATTGAAACAAATTCATGGGCAATTATTCTTTTTTCTATGAGTTTACAATAAAGTCATGTAGACAAGAAGTCAGTGAGTCAGTTAACTTTGTTCAAAAAATGGCTAATAAAGCGGTGGCATCAAAATAAGCCATTAAGAAACACGTAATTTGTAATTTTAAATAAATGACACTTTTTTTATAATTATATAAATACTTTTGATAATAAATATTAGTGTATTAAATCGAATAAACTTATCAATAAACTAAATTAAGAAAAAAGCGATATTGACTATTATAGTACGTAAAGAATACGTAACTTATCACTATATGATCGCTTTTTTACTTACGGCATCAATTGATTCACTCATGCAAGACAACATTACCTATTGATAGAATAATATCTGAAAACAGCTGAGCTCAATATGTATCAGTCAAGATTAGCTACACATGCAAAAGAGAAATAAGCCAGAAAGGAGAAGAAGAAAGAGGTGTTATCGCATTTTATAACTCACAACTCGCAAAAATCGATACAAAAGACGTCTGATGGGAGCGAATCAGACCTTATACGATTAAAAAAATATAGAAGTATGGCTGTTCTTTTCCGCACCAAACATAGATAAACCAGCCTTTTATTTTTTAAATCTATCGGTAGAAAAAAAGTGCTCCTGCTTCGTTGCCCATCATCATTTTTTAGCCAATGGCTATCTAATTTAATTTTCCGACAAAAATTTTTTTTTTTTTTCATCATCTTTATCACAATCCTTTTATCTGGCTAGATTATCACTGTTTAGCAAACATCTACATGTTAATTCATTCATATGCACGAACTTTGAATTTTGCGCGATTCCTTTTTTTTTCTTTAATTTTCTTAAAAACAAGGTCATCTCAACTACAGACTCCTCAATATAATATACATGAATATGAGTAAGAAGTTGAAAAGATTGACGAATCTTCGTGTATTTTCTTATGGATACAATAGTTAGTACCTCACGCAGCTAGGGTTAAGACGTAAAAAATGTCTCAAATGTGCACATTGCCATGAACATGAGAATAATCGTTTTTTTTTTTGCCAGTTTTCCTGGCACGGACACGATTTAAAGTGTAGCTTCGGGTGGAAGGTTGACTGATTGTGCAGATATACAGACATTTTTCACTTTTAGCCCCCTAGCATATTACATAGTTATTGCATCTTTGCATCCATTACCTTATTTTCAATCAAAACTTATCTTATACATACAGCTGCTATGAAACTATGAAAAATCTATTTGTTCTACTGCATCAATTAAACTTTAAATTGCACAGTTAAATCGTTGAATGTCTATGGAACAGCATTATAAATTTTAAATTTCAAATATATTTTATAAACTTACCTCTGTACGCGATGCGCAAAATAGATTTTTCACTCATTCAAAGAGACGCTATTACTTTTAAACTCTAAAAACTCAAGTCTTTTACAGTAAGTTAGAACACATGTGTGCTTACAAAGAGAAAAGCTAATCTGTTTTCTCAGCAGCATTTGTTGATGATTCTTTTTCATCAAAATTTTCATCGATTGATGACTTATCTTTATAAATGTCAGGAAGCAAAATTTTAATAGCGTCGTTGTCACCGTTGTCTTTGGTAGAATTACCCTCAGGTATAACTGCTGCCTCGTTACTGCCACTCATTTTCACCTGCTTTTCCTCTGCTTGATCAACTACTTCGTACACGGCACTACGTTTATCACAGATTTCCTCCAATTTTTCACAATTTTCTTTGGTTACGTCCACTGGATCGGATTGAGCTGTAAAATTTTTTTGAATATCGTTTGGAGAGTAGGTTTCTCCAACCATGTTGTTTATGTCACACTGAGCTTTGTCGGAATCAAATACTAGGCCACTGTCATCGGCAGATCGATTTTGAGAGTTGTCAAACTCACTAGTCTTGCTTGTTCCCAATCCACAATCCGCATCTGCAATTCCACTGTCATTCAAGAATGTGTTTTGCACAGCATCTGAATCGGACGATTCTATTGCTTTCGATTCCGCTGGCTCACTACTACTGTCCAAGTCAGTGTTCATCTGCTGAGATTCAACACCTAATTTTTGTTCACACACGTTACTCATTCTTTCTTCCTCTTCAGACTTACCGGAAGATAAAGCGTGAGTTTTGTTCTCAGATTCAGTAGCTTTAATTTCATCGACTGGGTCGGATTTTTCTTCACATTCATTAATTTCTTGAGAAATTAAAGAGTGAAGTTCTTCACGTGGGACGACTGGTTCTGTGTTTTCTTCAACACTAACGATTTCATTTTGGTTTTCTGACAGAGTACCCTCATTTATAACTAGTTCGTGTGACTCTTCTTCACTTATCTGTTCAGGTTTGGTTACTACTGTATCGTCGGAGGAACTAATTTCCATTTCTTTCTCATCAATGCTTTTATCATTTTTACCTTGACAAGCCACACCATCTTGATTAGTTTTAACAGTTTCACAAATTTCACGGATTTCTTCAATATTTTGAGTGCTACTATCAGTTTCAGAATTGACTCCATCACTTTCGTTGATTTGATTAACCTTATCATTATTAACTTCAACATTGCAATTTTCAACATAATTATTGCACATACTTTGATCAACAGGTTTAACAATTTGAATACAATCATCTGAACTCTTAGATTTATCAGTTAATTCAACATTGAATTGGTTACATTCATCAGCAATTATTGCATTATCATCATCAATAATAGGTTTTTGCTCAGCAACATTTTCACTATTAAACGATTTACTAGGAATATATTCAGAAGGTATCGCGTTATCAGAGCTATTAGGAACACTTTGCGCCGTTTCTGTAACAGGTTTTTGAGTTACCCGTCTTTGCACTCGTGGAGGCTTAGGGGTATGATGATTTGGCCTCTGATCTTTAGGCTCGTTTTTCGGGGAATTCAAGCTTTTCATTGGATTCTTGGGATGGGTGGATTGATCTTCACCTCGGAGTTCTTTTCTTTGTAGATAGGGAGATTTTGTGTTACCTTCTTTTTTTCGCTGCATGAAAGGACTCTTTGGAGTTGTTTTTTGTGATGGTCCAACTGTAGTAAAACTCATTGCTGCTGTTTTATCGTCAAAAGACTTTGGTCGAGGAACATTTTTAGGCTCATGAAGACTCATTTCGGCGTCGGATTGGCTGCTGTAAGTAACACGGCTCTTTTGACGGGGACCAACTCTACCAGTTCCTGCGATGCTAGGTGAACTCACTGAAAAAAAAAAAATTATATTTAAAAGTCTTAAAAATTATAAACAATTAATTGTAAAAAAATTGTTTTAGTAACCTTTAACGCTCATAACTGGACCCTTCACTTGATTCATAGGATTTGCTGATACTTTGACACTTTGATCAGTAGCAGAGCCTATCATTCTATCATCAGAAAGAGAGAATGTACTGTCAGGTTGTCTTTTGTATTCGTACGATTGATTGTAATCATGATATGGACGACGATGATCTTGATTACCATGATTCTTTTGCAAACCGTGATTTCTACCTCCACCATGTCCTCGAGTTGAGTAATCATCTTAAAATGTATGGTTGTAAAAAATAAGTTTGCCAGCAAAATTCTATGATTACTGAAAAATGATTTACAGCTGAAAATTTTATGAAACTTACTTTCGTAATAATTGTTCCTTCTATCGTAATCTTTACGATTGGAGTCTACTTTTTGCACAGTTTCTGATGCTTTTTCAACATTTACCTAAAAAAAAAATTAGGTTTATGAGAGTACAGCCAAAGAAAAAATTTAATTTGATTGCAGATACCTTATTAACATCCCACTCCCTCCGCCAGTTGCCTTCAGCTGTTTTCTGCCTGTTGATACGTGCTTCATCAATCCTATCGCGTTCCGCTCTCCATGCTTCGTATTCAGGTAAAGATTCACTTTTACTGTGAAAAGCATGTGGACCACGATTATCCTGAAAAACAAAGAAATTGCAGTTAGAAACTATGACTACGTAATTAGGAGAAGGATAAAACTAGTGTATTTTTACTTTGAAAAATGGTTGATTTCCATTTCCTGCACCATTGCCACCACCTCTTCGTCTGGTAGATCCACGAGGTGTTTTATTTCTAGATTTGCTTTTATCATCTTCATTTTTACCTTCATCTGCTGCACGAGTTTCCCTTTCTGAATCTGCTAAAAAATTATATTTTGGGTCTGGTGGAGGTCCTTTGCCCTAAAGAATTCCATTCGACAGTTCATTAATTTTTTTGGCACATGGTCAAAATCAACACTCTTACCTGAGGAAATTTATGATCTTTCTTGGATGATCTATCTGGAACTGCCACATGATGTTGGGGAGCTTGTCTGTCACTGTGATCCTTACTGGGTTTCAGTTTCTGAGAACTTTTTGGTGCAACTAAGAACTCAGGAGGTTCTTTTCTTTCCGGCCAGTCGTCCGACGGAACTAACTGAACTAGAGCATTTAATTTTGCCGCATTTTTCTTATCAGCTTCTACTTCCTATTAAAAACATCAGTACATGTTAATAGCAAATGCAATGTATCTACCTGACTGTTTATGAAATGGTGATTTGCAAGAGGATTAAAAGGTTTTAAAAGCGTGTATTTTACCTCGTATCTCTGCCGAATTTTCTCATTTTGCAATCTGATTTTCTCAATCTTTTCCTCCAGAGCACTGGAAGCCATCTGAAAATTTTGATATTTCGTACTCTAAAACCGTCAGTCTAAAGAACGTAGGGCTAAAAATTAATTGAATTGCGTTTGTTTACAGTAATTAGGGCATACACAAATCAATCTGTGAGATAGACACGAGTCCATATACTTATTAATTGTACCTATACTGTGGTAATTGCCTGGTACTGTATAACATAAAGTTGGTAGCTTCGTTCACATACCCTAATCAAGAAATCAGTAGACAGGAGACAGGAGCAATGTATAATATAATAGATACTTGGTAAGTAGGCGAAAGTGACAAAACGGTATTTGGTCGGCCTAAATACTGAGACTAACGGTATAACGTAACGTGTGCTAGTAAATATAGATGACCAGAACATCGAACAAGCCAGATGAGCAATGATCGAACAAAAAAGGAAAAAAAAAAAAAAACATATTTTGTTGAAAGCTCATCGATATTTAAATAAGACAGGGGGTCAGCGATTAATTAAAAAAAATAAGTAGTTGGCTAAATATAGCTTTTGGTCATCAAATGACTGCCGGTCGTCTCACACATGCACACTTGTACGCCCTAATTTCGCAACAATATCTAACTTGTTGTTCTGAATTTCAATAAGCGTTTTTGCTATAAAACTTATACATCATAGAACTTTTTAAGGGAAACATAACTTGATACAGATTGTGTGCTGCTGCTAATGTACTCTCCTAACCTTGTTTACGAAAACTCATCACTCTTGGACTGACCTTTTAGGATATCCTGTGTTTATTTTTGTGTAACAGCCAGGCAACCATTCAAGTATATTGCTCAGGAACTACCCCAACGCACTCGTTTGTGATGGAGGCGAACCCAAATGCATCTATGACAGACTACATTGCTTATTTACTCCTTTGTAAAGTTGTTGTCTCATCTGTGAGGTATTTATCGCACCTCTACATACATCCCTTCATACTTATCGAATGAATTCGTTCTACCAATGTTATTACTCCAAAATCCTCACTTTTCAAAACAAACAACCTACACTATAAGGTATAAGTTTGCTCAATGAACCATGAATTCTCGCACTTTGAGGCGTTGATGTCCTTAACGTTTATGCCACACGCCTCACTACAATACTTGTCCAAACACAGTGGCTTATTGCCCCTACTGATGCGGACATTGCAGACTTATGATGTAATTAGGTATACCTACTATTAAGTATGGGAGAAAACAAAGCTAACAAAACACAGTTTTTTTTCGGAGCTGCCGACTTCAGTAGCAGTACTTAGCACTGGAGCACCCGAGCATCGAGCAGTGCGCCTGCGTCACTCACTTTTTGTTTTTAAGTATTGCGATTGCCCTTCCTTTTCTCCACAGCCACAGCGTATAAGCCAAACGGGACACTCCGCGGCAAATTCAAACATTCTACAACCAATCAACTTAAATTCAAGCTCTTGAACCCTTTGACACTTTACTCCAAGTACTTAAACCAAATGACACGGGGCGTAGAGTTCAATTAGTTGATAATTACATTTTCTGATCAACTATAAAAGAGCTACTTATCTTAAGAAAAGGAAATAGCTTGTACACCATTTTAATGGTTTGCCCTTTAAAAAGTTGTTGCTAAGTATACTTCAACGCAAAAAAAATTGTTAAGACTGATAAAAATACTCGATTTTTGCTTATTAACTATTTCATTACTGCAAAACGGCAAAGTGTAAGCTTCTTAAAGTTTTTTCTATCTTTGCCTCTTACAGTATTTAAAGGAAATTATTTATTTTGTGCCATAATTTTCTTAGTAGCCCTGGAAATGTACAAATCCTTGTTGAAATAATTTCCATAAAATTTTCGAGTCTCGCTTATTAGTTAATCGTTCCTCACCTAAAAGTTTGTTAAATATCTTCTGTACCTGTAGTAGATAGAGCTTAATTTGTTTTTTTTTTTTTTTTTTGCTTGAAAGTTATTTTAAATTATTAAAGAGCTGAAAATTTACAATTTTTTAGATAATACATGAGAATTTTTTCAATTCGCCTAATAACACTTTAATTTTGGTGCTGTATGGTGACCATTACGTTACTAGGAGGAACATGCTAGATTTTAAAAGTCAAGCTTCTTTACATGTCGAATCAAAATTTTTTAAAATTGAATACGTAAAACGCGATACAGTAAAACGATTTGATATAATTCGGGGCGCTTACTTTGCGCTTTTATAAATAATAAAGTTATAATTATTATTACAAGCGCCTATCTATGAATGGTCCCGGGCGCTTACTGGTCGCTATTATATCGTGTAGTGTATTTTTCACGGTATCTATAAGTTCAAAGTTTCGAAAACATCCATCACAAAAACCTGTAAGTATGTGATAAATGTTCTCTCAAACCCCATAATTCTCTATGCAATTCCAACGTAATAAACTGATGTGCTCAGTTATATCAGTTGATTTTAATAAAATACTAATGACTTTAACTAATTAATTACAATTTTTGTACAAAAAGTGTTAACAACAACTTCGAGTGTTACAACTGTAAAACTTTTACAATTACTGAAGCTCAATTGTATAAGGACAAATAACTTATAAGTCCAGTGAACTACTTTAGAAAAGTGATCTTAAAATGTGCAAGTTGTTAAAATATTAGTTTGCCATAATTTTATAGATGTATTATTATTAAAAGATAATCGAATTATGATCTACTTTGTCTTAGGTTATTTTCTAGGGCAAAAGCACTTTGAGTAAAAGCCTAGAGGCTTAAAAGCTTAAAAATGAAAAATTTTATTTGTTAATAACTTTTACCGATATAATAACCAAGTTATTTTAATAATTCATACTCTTTTTTTACCTACAAAGATCATTCAAATGATTTACAAGTTATATCTTTTTTTTACGATGAGTAGCTCTTTTATTGTTAATAAAAAAATGAAATTATTAACTAATTGAACTCTACACCCCGTGTCATTTGGTTTAAGGGCTGAAGAGTACAGGGTCATGCGGTTAAAGTACTTGGGGTAAAGGGTTAGGAGCTGAAGGGATTGGGAGTGAAAGATTATGTTTGTTAATAATTTTTATTTATAAGCTAACCGAGCCATTTCAGTTATTAACAATTTTATTGTTCCTAAAAGTACTATTTAAATGAGGTACTTATTACAATGATTTATTTTATCGTTACTCTTCAACTTTGATCTGCCCTCCACCCGTCACTTTTTGCTTACGTACAAAAAAATAGATTCCTATTACAAAAATATACAAATAACAATCTTTCATAGTCAATCAATAGTTTTTTTGAAACAATTATATATTTCAATCATACAACGTAAGAGTTATATAAAAAGTATCTTTGTACGCGTTGTTAATTCAGAGCACTTCACTCGTAGTTGTAAATCGCAATAATAGAAGATACAAAAATATGTGGCACACTCCGACAGTACGCACAACTATTTTTTCGCACACACTGCGAAAAGTTGACCCAATCACTCGACAAGCCTTATTATGTGTAGGCGTCGAGAAAAAAAAAAAAAGAAAACACCCTTCAATAACCACACTTAAGAAGACACCCTTTAACCGCACTTATTCGATTCCGCTTCGCGCGCAACGTTCAAAGTGACTCGTGAGCTTGTCCGACCTCGCGAAGCTGTGCTCGCAGATGGTGCACCGAAAGGGCTTCTCGCCCGTGTGGACGCGACTGTGCCTCGCTAGATTACTGGCCTGTCCGAAAGCTCGTTGGCACACGACGCAGCGATAGGGCCGCTCACCCGTGTGGCTGCGGCAATGCTTGCGCTGGTCGCCCAGGTGTGCGAACGATTTGCCGCAGAAGCTGCACGCGAACCGCGCTTTCGTGGATTTTGGAGGAGCATCACTTTTTTTCTTCTTGCTGTTGCTGATGCTTTTAACAGGTGGCGATGGGGTTTTTATTTTAGGACAACGGCTGTTTCGTTGAAAGCTTGTGCGGCTGTTGGCAAAATAATATTTTATTATTTGTATGCATATACGTATAGTAGGTTGCAACGTTTATCACTTTTATATTTTCATTATTTCTTATCTTTAGTAGAGTACCCTAAATAACACATTGGGAACTCTAAATTAAAATTATGCATTTTTTATGATATGTGGTTTTTAGAATTGCTTTTAAATTTTTTATGTGTTTTGCTTTTGCGTCAGGCACCGAATTTTTTTAAATTTTCATTAAATATCTTCGGTTTTTTTTATGCGTCATAGCTAGTGAAAAGTCTTTCAGAACATGTTTAGAAAACGTAAAAATACTTTTTTTTTCATCTTACCATTAGAAATCAAGTATCTTATATATAAAGTCATGAAAATCTTTAGAAAACGTTACGCTTGTTAATTGGGTTATTGCCGAAAAGTCGACTTAAATGTGTACTCACCCCACTGTTGTGCTATTTTTTTTATTTGATATAAATTAATAACAATTGATTTAAAAATTTATATCGTACGCGCTCAATATAAATGACTTTTTTCCATACCTTTAGATTTTTTAGTATTTTTTTTTTCATGCAATAAAAAATTAAAAACAACATAGAATGTCTTTTCGGTCCCATGTTCACAATGTAATTTACATATATCCACTAGTACTTCAGCTAAGACATGAAATTTTTTTTTTCAAGAAATAATCATAAGTTTTTAATTGATCGTAAACTACTAAATAATTTCTTCTACTTGCGTATTTTATTTAAAAAATTGACTCATGAATACTATTTACGTATCGTTACTTTTTATTATTTTAGCTCAATATCACGTTGACACTGACACATTTTAGTTGTGTGTCTTGTGTACCCGCATGAAATAATAAGCAAACAATGAAAAATTAGAATGCGTAGAGTTGAACTGTAAGTGTAAAAATTTGAAAAATTTTGTTTCTCAGGTTTCTTAATCGATTTGTGGCATGTACAGAAATAATTTAGTACAAACTTTGAATTAACCGAATATTTTTTCTATTCTAAATATCAGGTAAGTAATATTGGGAAATAAAAAAACTTTTCTAGCTGTATTAATTATTGTTAATAAAAATTGTTTAAAATGAATTTAACAACATTTTTTATTTTAACGGTTGCAACGTAAGACTCATCAGTTATATTTCAGACAATTTGATAAAAAAAAGTTAATCACATACTTATAAAGCAATACGTTTTTTAAAGTTTTTATCATCATATTTCGGCATAGCATCGATAAGAACATGATATAAAATGATAAATTCTACTCGTTAAACAATTCTCTAACCTCAGAGCTCTAAACAAGAATACGATCTATTTAAGTTCTCACTTCTTATGCTTTTTAAATTTTTATTTCCATTTTTAAAGCGATTTTATTGTTTAAGTCTACATTTAAATAATGAAAAAATTCATTTGTATCTACTTTTCGACAAATTATTGCCGCAGAAATTCTATGAGATGTTTGAAACACATCACCTAATAATCATACCAATAATTATTTTACGGAAGTCTCATTTTAATTTGGTGAATTACACAAATACTTAACCAATTATTATTTTTGGTTATTACTGTTTAAACTGTGCTTTTTAACTCGATATTTCGTTTAGATGTTGATAGTTACAAGTATAAATTAATCAACTCAGCAATAATGTAAAATTACATAAAGTTCGCATGTTGTATTAAAATTAAATAATTGCAAATTAAAAAATAATACTATGTAGGAATTTTTAATTAAAATTTTCTATAAAATCATTCCATCAAAGTATGAGATTTACAGTCAAAAATATCTGGTTAAAATTTTATGAAATACATTACTTTACTTTCTGATACTTACATGAAGTAAAAAAATTTCACGATGTACTTAATCTCTTGATAAACAAAAGTTAAGCCTTTATTAGATAAAACCATGCGAACATAAAAAAAAAATATTTTGAAAAAAATTCTAATAATTCTGTCAAAAAAAGAATTTATCTTAAATCAGTGATGAGGGAGCGTAAAATCAACATTTTATAAACTTTAATCCAAGATTAATGTATATTTTTGAAATGACAGTAATTTCTATAATTTAAAAAACTTACCACATAATGTCTAATGCAGGTTCTTGCGAACATTTATTTGCATACAATGAATCTTCTTTAGCCGAAGCACTTCCTGTATTGCTTTTTTTGGAGATCTTCATAACACTTTGTATTGTTTTGTGGATGGTTTAAAGTCGTAGTTATTAACTTTTTACAATTTCAGGAACTTGCTTCGATATTTTACTTTTCACAACATTCAACAAACATTAATAAAACGTCACTGTATGATAATTTCTGTTCTCAATAGAGTAGTTAATCAGTGAAATTAACTAACGTATTGTTATGCAGGAAACAAAAATCACAACAAATTTATGTATCACTTATCGAATATGGTTAGCAATATACTTTAGAACGTATCTAAGGTAAATGAAAAAGTTAGTCCCGTGTTTACGTGTTTTTATAAGAGCCAATGTAAAAAAAATATTGTCTGTGACAAGAGAGATAAGTATCACCTTTGACCATGAGTAGTACACCTCTGAAATGTGCGAGTAAAATAATGTTGGCTACGGAAGGCCTATGCGGAGGCAAAACGTAACTAGAGAGAGAGAGGGAGATGTCTCGGGAATACCCGCTTGGGACTTTCCTGGTGAGTATTAAGTAGTAGCAAAACACTTGAGTGATTCTGTCGATGTATGTATTCGTGTACTTATTTCGGCATTTCAAGGACTTATACTCGTGGATGATTAAACAAATACCGATCGCCAACGCTTACAAGTGTCTGTATTGTTGAGGTGAAATATTGTTACACAACTTTTTTTAAATTTAGAATTGTATTTTTTCCTTCTGTTCACTATTTACCATAATTTAGTAACATATTCTTCTTAAATGTTTGTTTTATAAGTGATAATTTGTTATTCATGATACAAAAAATTAATACCTGATCAATCTGATAATATATATTCTTTGTAATTATAGCAGTACTTTCTACGGAACGTATTAACCGTAAAATATTTTATCAGCAGTTCAAAGAACTGATGTTATTTTTTTTGGAGTCGTAAAAAATAGTTTACAGTTAATCTGAGGAGTTTACAAAAAAATTTAAAGAGACTTTGTATGTTCAAAATGTACCAAAGAGTGCTATGAAATTTTTAATTTTACAAAAATTCTTATTAATAATCGATTAGCAACACTTCTTTCCGTCTTAATTCGAGGATTATATAACTTATCAAATTAAAATAGTAAATCTATAAATGGACTTAGATAGGCCACAAATATACAGAAGCAAAACCGTATTAGTTGTATTTTTAAAATGTGACACTTTAGCAAGTGAAACTATATTTTATTGAACTTATAAAAATGATTGCCTCAAGTATACCTTGAAATTTTCAATAGCGAGCATAGTTTCCAGTTGTACAAAAAGCTCTGAAGTTTTTAAAATAACGTTTCAAATTTAATCTGACCTAAAATTCAAGATTTGTAAATTTTCAATAAGTAAGTTGTTTGGAATTTCGACGTGCATTTCTGGAATATTCAACTTTGAATTCTTGTATTCTGATGCAGCGTGTTATAGAATACTGATAAAAAAAACGTAATTTTGTTAATATTTCGAAACATTATCTTACGATTATTTTCACAATGACCGTGGTAAGTAAAATATTATTATATACAATGTATTAAAAGACCATGTAGTTATACATTGCATTACCTTTAAAAGATATTTAGAATCCAACGAATTTACCATACTTCGGCTGTAGCTGCGTGTTGTATTATTTTGTATTCCATAAAATATTTTCGATACTTCTTGTCTGTTGTATAACAACCGTAGGTGCTAAACTACCTGAAGTGCAGGACAACGATGAAAGTTTTGAAAAAACATTAAAACTCCTGAAATACTCGAGTACAGAGTCATGTGTTTTACCGTGTCCAGGTGAAGTATTCAAAATGTTTTCTTCCCTCAGTCTCAACCAATGTTCGAATAATTTAATAATGCATCAGTTAAACTGGCAACTGTAGATAATCTCTAAATTTTTAAACCGTATCATATTACTTTAAGTAGAAAAAAGTGTTATTCTATTGTTTGAACTAAAGATTTGTCGTTTAAATTATCAGATTCGCGTAAAAATGATGAATAAAAATTTTATTTATTGGCAAACTGATTGAGGTAAGTATACAGTTTTTTATTTTCATTCCAGTTCTATATTCGAAGGGAAGTTATGCCTCATGTTCAAAGAAAAGCTCAGGGAGGATTTAGCCTGTACTAAATAAATAGACGATAGAAAACAAAACAAGGTAAACCTTTATGTACGTGCCTACTTACTGAACATTTTTTAAATTTATTCCATTAATTGTGGTTACGAATTTGTGGATTGACATTGTTGAAATTCATGGCCCATGAAGAATCGTTGCAATTAATTAACTCCTCCAAGTGACTACATTCATAATCTTACGACATCATTACATGATCATTGTTTCAGTTATGGCACCAGGAAAGGGTATAGACCACAGCTAGCAAACCTCAGTTACATTATTCTGGATTGTTCGAACATACTTTTTACATGGCGATGGATTACAAGTCTCATGTTACCTCTCTATGTCATCAATTTTTAACTAGTTATTTATTACAAGACTGATAAATATTTGTATAGACTAATAACGTGCAAGACCTTTAAACGTTAATAGTTTCAGATGGATCCCTTCAATCGTTCGATAACTCCAAGTTATAAAATAAAAATCGATTTCAACCCTTAGTACAAGTGATTCAATAGTTTCGAAGGTCAAGTGAATCAAGGTTCTGAATTTGGAAGTGTAAACTGATGCGAATGCTCTTGCCAAAATAAACAATGAAAAAGAAGGATCATCGTATATGCCAAGGTTTTCCTATCAAAGTAAATTCAAAAGCTATATTATACAACGCGATCCGATAAACATAGAAACGAGGAATACATTATACACACTATTGAACAGCCAGAAATGTCATGAGGATGGTGAGACAGGGTAGATCAAAGATGTTATGCGGCAGAAGGAAATCCACGAGTGCGATTGTCCCGGGCAGTGGAATATTCCGAAAGAAATGGAGAACCAAATACTTATACACCGCACAAAAGTGAGCCAATCAATAATCCCATGAATCAAAGCCGTTTATCATTATTACACAATTAATCGTAACTATTGATTGTAATTGACTATTCAAACTCGAGCACATATATGTGTATACACGAGCCATATACAATGCACACCCTAACCCGTATTCCGCACGCGTATATGCGTGCACCCTGGGCATATACACGCGTCCGAGTTTCCATACATACAGGAGTCCACAGTGTATACGACAGCACAATGGGCAACGGCGCATCTATATACATAAATCCATTATGCGAGCCCGCGCACAGAGAGAGCGAATCCGCAAGGTATAAGTACAGCCGAGAATGCATAATACTGTACACGCGTGGATTCAGCGTATACATATGTATATATAAATGCACGTAAGAGTATCAAACGGCACGGTAAAACTGGCATTTCCGGGTTTGAAAACGGCCGCTGTATGGTATGCGTGGTGGTGTTTATATGCACGCGGGGAGTGCAAGGGTTGCGGGTGCACCGGAGAATCTAATACCATATCCCGTTTAGGTGCACCGCATCCTCCGCGTATATATACGCTGTAGTTGGCTCTGTACACTCGTATTTGCAAGACGCAAGAGGAGCTGGTGGGATATCCTGTCGCACACGCGCATCATATACGGGCAGGGTGACTTGAGCCTTGCTTCCTTATGCGGCTTTGCGTATCCTTCCTAACTGCGATCCGTATAATCTTGTGCTATCCAGCCTTTTTTAAGTTGGTTTTGGTCACATTTTCACCACGAAAATTGTATATTTGTGTGAAATCCCAAGCTATTCATTTGTGTATCAGTCGTTCACCAACATTTTGACGGAAACTCAATTTTCATGCTTTGTCATGCATTATTTCGCTTCATATAAGACTATAGACACATGTAAACACTGCACAAGCGAGTACACACAAACTTTCCTTTTTTTTTTTCCTTCACCAACGGCAAAACTGCTTTTCCACCACCAATTTTCCTCAACCGTGTATCCATACTCGTTTTCTTCGTTAAAGTTTGTGTGTCGGTGGATGAGAAGGAGGAGGAGGAGGAGAGGGTTAATCGCAATATCGTAAATTTCGCGGCGCTGCTTGCGTTGAAAACAAGGTTAAGATACGAGCTCGCAGCAATAAACAAGAGAGTTATGCCGAGCTCGGGCAAAAGCAAGCTGCTACCGCTTTCGCGGTACGAGTGACGGCCAAGCTTGTAAAACTGTGGTTGATCAGCTTGTTGTTCTATTTGCCATGAAATGTGATTTCAATTAATCGTTTTCCGACACTCGGTGTTGGATTTGATGGATATTTTTTTTTTTTTTGGTTCTAGAGCAGGGTTCTTTTCCATTTCGGTTCTGTTTGGATTTGAAATCAACAATGAGAGAAAAATCCCTTTCCAGCGCCCCGTAAGGACATATTCTCTAATAAATACGGACTCGGGGGTGCGAGATCGATAAATCCTCGGGGGTAAGGGGTGGCGCGGCGTCGAATGAAAACAGAAAGAGAGAGTGAAACGATGAAACCGTAACATTAAATCCCGGAGAATCTTTGTTCTCGGGCAAAATGGGCAGGACAGAAACGAAAATAGATAGCTATTGACTCGAAGCTGGAGCCGCGGGATGGGAATGGGATTGAACATTTTTTCCCAAATCGCTATCACGTTTTGCAAAGGACGACTTTTACGCGGGCAAATGTTTGATTTAGCGAATAAATCGAACCCCCTTCCCCCTGCTATCGCATGCGCTGCAATTGACTTCCATCAGTAAGTACGTACCAATTGATTTGAATCGATTCACGGCTGTCCATGTGGAATTAAAGTAGATAAAAAATAGCTGAAAATGTATGTTTTAAACTAATTTTGGAAAATCTTTTTTATCCAAAGTGCAAGACAAAAAATCTTCTCTTATGGTCTACATTTAGCGTGACTTGGTCTTTTCCTTCGGTTTCTTTACTGGCTTTGGAAATTCGACAAGAAGTTGAAGATGCTCTT